CGGAGGTGAAACTGTCATGAGTCAACTTGACCACATACTGTGAGAGAAAGACAAATAACGACTAGACTGACTCATTACAGCAGACAGGTCAATTACTGTTCAGGCGGGTTGTGTGTAGACTCGCACGGCGATACAGGTAACTGAGTGGGGAGGTGACAGGGGGGCTGGACAAACAGGTAGAGCGACACAGGGCAGTTAGTAGTTGGTCAGTCCAGTGAACGGATGTGTTTGTTTGGAGCCCTTTTAAAAGGTGTGAATTGTTTTTCGCTTGGAATGGACTGGATTTAAAACTGTGAGCAAAACAGTAGTGGTTATTCATACTGGTGGCAAGTGTTTCTGTTGTATAGCCGGATTATAAAGTTAAGTGTGGTAGCCAGGAGGATACGTAATTATAGATATAAAGGCATCCTATAGCCTCTCATGACTTTGCTCATATTGCGAGGATGATTTGTGATCAGCTGTACCAGCTTACTGTTGATGTATTTGGCCAGTGACTACCTAGGATTAGTGGGCCAGTGAACCATAAGAATGAAATCTGTGGCTACTCAGTAGTCGATAACGTTGTGTGGAAGCCATACTAACTTTGCAATTATTATGAGTTCTTAAATAAACATTATTTAAAAACTGGAACTAGGTCATCAGCGTTTACATGTTCATGGAAGTGTGCGTACACCTGGCACAAATAACAAGTGTGCCTGTGTCACACCTATAAAAGGTGTCTGACAGTATTCATGTGTGTGTATGTGTGTGTATATATATATATATATATATATATATATATATATATATATATATATATGTGTGTGTGTGTGTGTGTGTACGTGTGTATATACACATATATATGTGTGTCTGTGTGTGTATGTGTGTGTGTGTATGTGTGTGTATATATGTGTGTGTATGTATATGTGGGAATGTATGTGTGTATATATGTGTGTATATATGTGTGGGTGTATGTGTGTAAAGGTGAGCCGATTCAAAAATTGTTTGACTATACGATGCGTTCACAAAAGTGATTAGTGAGGATTATCTTCGCAGTACTCAATACGGGTCGATAGGTGCTCCGATCTCCTCTTCAGAAGTTCCGTAAGCGCAAAACAACTGAGGACGCGTGTTCTGAGTTTGTTAATTAGATGCCTTTTCCCCTTGGTGAAATGTTAATTTTTTGCTGCTCCAGGTTGAATGTTGAATGTTGAATCAAGAATCGACATCACGGCACTCGGAACACCCCCATCCTCATCTTCAGCAGCAAGCGACGAGTTAAAATTATGATGGTACTAGTAACTGTCTGATTGTATATCCGTCTCGCCTTATCCCTGAGTGTCGAGCGTCGGCCAGATCCCCTAGTAACTCCTTGCAGTGCAATTTTCCTCAGACCGTAATGATCTATCTGTGCCTCAGCACTGTTCACTCGCTCCCAAAGGGCCCTCACAACACTCAGCTTGTCATGCATCAAATCACTACCAATTAGTGCTGCTCCAGGTTCCATCCCTATGTCTATCAGTCCAGAGAGGGATAGGAAATCATGCCATGTGTTTGCCTTCACGATACGTGCTGCACATGGCGCTGATTACGTCCCTTCTGTCCAGTACAGGGCCAGTCATAGCAAGAGCAGTGTCAGCAAGATAGCCTGTACGCTCGTTTGTATGACATTAACACAAACTACAGTTATCAAGTGACGGGAAACTACATCTAACTCATCTCTGCGACAATTTACAGCATAAGCAGTAGAGCAGAAGAAAAAAAGAAAATGGTGGCTTTGCGGGAAAAAAAAATCCTTATGTTCAGCCAGCGTCAGCAAAATAGGAGCTTTAGGTTATAATTGTGAATAGGTTATGTTCGCCATATAAAATTGTTCAGCATTTCTCGCCACCAAGTAGCTATGAAAATAGCTCTTGCATTGTTGAGACAGACCAAAATACCATCCCGACTGGCGACGAAATCACCTACCGGTGAGCCAATTAGTGACCCGATCGCAAAAGAAGAAGATGAAGAATCAGTTTATCTGTACGACTATTAGGATGCAAGAAATAAGAGGGGTCGACATGAATTAACTAATCTGAGAACCACTGGTCTAACCCACTGCTAAGTGTGTTCCCCAAGAAAGCCTAGGGAGTTATTAACGACCGGGTCTAAGTTTTTGAAAGTTTCAACCTGAAAATTGTACTGAAGTAAAAGAACAGCTAATGCATTGCTTTATTAGTATAACCATTCCGGATTTTGCCTTTCAATTTGTTAGATTGCAAGCGATGTTTTCGGGTTAATTTCATCAAATGTTATAAATTTCAGTTAACAAATGCACCCAAGTGTTAGGGCAGGAAATTGATAACGTTTCAAAGCTGTTATTGTTTCCCATATATTATGCTTGTTGCTGTCATTTTTGAATATATTTTAGACCAAGAACCGAGGACTTCGAACCATAAAGGTAATTAATTAGTATGATAGAATCAGTAAAGTGGAGCTATGGCAGAGAACTAGACATACTACAGTGAATCACGAGATGAGGCAAAGATGCTGACGCTAGATAGAACGCCTGTTGAGAAAACCTGAGAACAGTTTTCCTAGAATGTATTTACACTGGAACCCGCAGGGGAACTGAGACGAAGGCAGAACAAAAATACCAAAACATATACTGGAAGAAGAGAGCTACACAGTGACGTCAAAATTTGCAGAAGACATTGGTGAGCTGCACGCAGTAGCAAAGAATTTGATGAACGAACGAACGAAATTTATTTTCAAATGGTCACAAATTGGGCACGCAGGCCCGTCTTACATTCGGCCCTTCTAAACACCCGTTTTTCACACTGCAGCTGTATTTTATCAATAAGCATGTTATATTCATATGATAATATGCACATAATGAATATCACAGAAGAGGAAAAAAATCACAAAAGCATGGGTGGTAAAATGTATACACACACACATCCACCCACTCGCTTAAACACACCCACATACCTTCACACACACATTAACACACCCCATTCACCCACATACATACCTACAAACCCACGGGAGTTGATTGACGGTCTATGTTCCACTAGATGGGAAAGGAAGGTGAGAGCAACAGATAGAAGCAGATTATTGAAGAACTAAGAAGGTTTTTCTTGATGATAATTAACTGTATTGGTTCTGTGTAGCTAGAGTAAAAGAATTATAAAAGTGATTGTCACCAACAATGTTATTAATGAAGATGGCTATGAGGGTTTTGTGAGAGGAAAGTAAGGAATGTTTGCTTAAGGAATTTGATGATAATGACGAAGATGGTTGTAAAGACGATGATGATAGTGATAATAATAAAAATGTCTCTTTCTTTTTGTTGTATATAGAGATCTACTTTCATTAGCTTCTTTCAAGCAATCGTTGTTAGTTACTCTGTCCGTCCAAGGTATTAGTAACATTCGTCTCAGAAACCACATCTCTGTTGCTTCCAAATTCTTCTTAATTTGTTCACTGACATTCTAAGATTCGCTGCCGTACAGCAGAGCAGGTTCTATGTAACATTTTAGCACCCTCTTTCTTACATTAAATGAGAGCGATTTTTTTGCATTAGATTTTTTTCCTTTTCTGAAATGCAGCATTCGCTTGACCTATTTTACTTTTAATCTCTAGTCGTAGCAACAAATCCAAATCCGGGCAGACTTTCAGCATTCGTTAGCGATCCTTTGTTGACCCAGCCTAACATAAATACCATAAAAAATACTCATAAATAAAATCGCTCGGCATTTTGTATTCCAGCCCGAGAGTACCGCTTGCTCTACGAAGATATAGGACTAGTACTGGTAGCATGCTTGATGTATCCCAAGTTGAGGAAACTGGATAGGGTAAAGAGAAAAGGGAAACAACAAACGGTAGAGGTGATAGAGAGATTGCTCTTAAAAGCTAAGAAAATGATGCATTAAATTAGGTTTTAGTTAAGATTATAAAAGAGAAAAGAATCAGGAATAAACGGAAAATAAATCTACAACACTGACACGACTTAGGCATAAAGAATAAATAACACAGCATCTAAAATAAAATAGAACATTTTAAAAGAGGATTAAAGAGATTATCGCAGCCATCCCCAAATACGAAACAGGAGTACAAGATAATAAATATGATGACGACGATGTTGATTAGAAGAAGAAGTGTCAAGTCATGTTAAGTTAATGTGAATTTGTATATCTGCACCTGTGAGCTGAGGCAGATGCAGACCTTTGCAAAAAAAATTGTTATAAGACATTCAAGATGCACTGGCCATGGAAGCATATAGGGCTAGAAAACTTGCTAGTGAAAGAGAGAGAGAGAGAGAAAGAGAGAGAGAGAGAGAGAGAGAGAGAGAGAGAGAGAGAGAGAGAGAGAGAGAGAGAGAGAGAGAGAGAGAGATTTTCAGGCGCGCTGTGATGGGAAAGACGTTCTCTAAAGGCCCTGCAGACTGATGGATTTGATTGAATAATTGATTGTATTTGTAATCACGACATGTGTTTATAAAGTGTAATTTTAAGACAGTGGCATGTGAGAATATCATCAGTAGAATTGACCCAGAACACCAAATAACGAACGAACGAAGGAACGTACGAACCTGTGGAGATATATGAACGCCAACGCGAGCTGGCAAGGCACTTAATGATGGTGAGATCTAAGTTGTTTTGTGGATGCTCTGAGGCTTAGGTTTCATTGACACAGACTGAGACACAAGAACATATAGGAAAGTGTAATGAAGATGTCTTCAATGTATAGAACAGAACAAGGCAATATATATTCTATGATAACAGAGTTATGAGGCGTGATATAAAGAACATAACCGCTGGAAATTTGGAGAGAAAAAAAAAGCAAATGGCGACCAAGAGAAAATAGTATGACAGTTTGGCAACATGACATGGAAAACACGCCTGTATCAGAAATTACTAAAAGTATACGAGGTGGAAGAATGTTTACAGACAAAACCACCAACGGCGCTCGGTCTGGACTATCAGAAGAACAAATGTGGGTATGTACCTCAACATGTATACATCACAATCTCCTACCTGAACGTAGCCGTCTCCTTTGTCAACCATATATCCAATGACAGGAATTCCCAGAGCTTCGGATATAAGATTAACAGTCTGCACAGTCCTTACTCTCCCGAAGACGACGATCAGTCGCACCTGGCTTCTGTCACCTTCAAAGTGAGCACACGTCCCAGTCAACAAACTTCTCAGATCACTAGTGGCGCTAAGCACACGCCCGGTCCAGGTGAAAATGGTGCTCTCGTTGATTAAGTCAACTAGTGCTCGCTCAAAGATGGGGATGTAATCGTCCAGGTCTTGCTCCTCAAATACTGCAGTTATATTGATGACTGGCTTGACCGGGGGAATCGTTGTCTTGCTGCCACCGTTCTCAAACTTAGGCAACTCTGTGGTGACTTCAGATTCAGCTTGACCAGGTGTATGCAGGTCACAGGCGACACAAGAGACGAGGATGGAGAGTAAGGCGACCACCACTAGCCCCAGCATGGTAGTAGCGGCCGGAGACTAGTCGACTCACTGCGGCAGGACATTAAAGACGGCGTCACCGGCTTAGTTGAGGTGAAACTGTTGCAGATTACGTGTTTGTGGTGGTGCATTTGGCGTTGTGCAGAAATGCCAGCATTCTAGAGAGAAGCAGAAATAATAGAAACGTTTATTGGACATCATTAGAACACCAAATACCGAACGAACGAAGGAACGTACGAACCTGTGGAGATATATGAACGCCAACGCGAGCTGGCAAGGCACTTAATGATGGTGAGATCTAAGTTGTTTTGTGGATGCTCTGAGGCTTAGGTTTCATTGACACAGACTGAGACACAAGAACATATAGGAAAGTGTAATGAAGATGTCTTCAATGTATAGAACAGAACAAGGCAATATATATTCTATGATAACAGAGTTATGAGGCGTGATATAAAGAACATTAGCTTTTATTTACAAATGTAAGAATATCGTTTAAAGACGAGGGGATCAAACACATGCGTGTCGTTTATCTTTACTGGGCTGCTGCCTGACAATTTTGTGTAAAACTAATTTTAGTCTCCCCACAGCCCCTCATAACACTAGCTCACCTCTGATTGGTAGTTTCTAAACCTACGTGTGTGTTGCGCAATGCCGTTGATATTGTGTGTTGTATATTTCAGCAAACCAGTGCTTTTAACACTTCAAAACCATGGACAAACTGGGTCTAACACAATCACCCTAGAGAATGCTGCAACCTATGTCACAGGCATTTTCTTTCTCGGAATAAAAACATAAATGCAAGACAACCTAGAAATAAAAAAACAGAGCGGCACATCCGCAACCTGCATGAAAGTAGACCAACCCAACAAACTTGTAAATGAAACGTGACCTACTTTGTTGGTGGAGACTAACTTAAACCTAACTCAAGTTTGATACCTTGATATAAGAGGATCTCACAATGAATGGCAGACAAAAAGAACTTGAAGGCGTGACATTATAAGAATACAATAAAGTCTCAGTGTTGTAGGCAGATTAAAGGGGCAAACCCAGATACCACCTTTAACCTCTAGGAAATTGAAATTAGAGCATTAAAAATAAAAAAAAACGACCATATAGCCTGGTGGAAATCTGCAGTCCTGTATGTGTAAGGATGTGAGAATGACTTCACTGATTCATATTTTAAACTTCTTCTTTTTCGTCTGTGCGGCTGACGTCTTGCACCATTAAATGATTGCTGGCTGATCTATATAATCTTTGACTAGTTAAATTCAAGTTTAAAGTTGAGATGATCGACTTCATTGCACTTGGTTTTATTCCATACGGCACGGTCTCTCTTCGCATAACGGCTAGCCGCCTGCCGAGAGCGCGACACTCTGTAGCTTCAGCGACAATCCCCAAGGACATCTGTAAATATTGATCTTGTGAAATGAAGGGGCAGCCTTTAAACGAACCCACGATCTTCAAAGCCCAAGGCAAACGGCTTGACCACTTTGTCACGGAGACCAGCACTATACGGCTGATGATCCAGGTGCGGGAAAGGAGTCATGTGCCGAATAATGGTTCTTATGCGTGGTTTTGGTGCACGAACAGTGATGGCCAGCACTGGCACTTCACATCATGCTGAAGTGCAGCAGGGGAAGATCGTGGCCTGGGAGTCATTACCCAGGTAGGCTTACCTTCTGATATTGTATAGGAATGGTAACTGGCCGAAACAATCGTCAACGAGGGATCTTTTTACTGATGATCAGCGGACCCATGCTGTACATGTTTCCCTGTGGAGTTCTTCGTATTATAATCTTTAGAGAGGAAAAGATTAAAATTGAGATACAGACCTCGTGGATGCCTGTATTTTAATGCACTTTATTACATGATTGGCAAACCAAATTCAACTTTTTGTAAATCGAATTCATCCAATCGTAAATGAAATTAACCTTTTGAAAATCAACTTCATCCCTTTACAGATCAGATTAACCTTTTCGCAAAACAAAATTAACAATTTCACAGATCAAGCTTTCCTTCAGCATTTTTTCTAGATCTATTATAATAAAAAAAAAAAAAAAATTAGAAAGAAAAGAAATCATGTATCAGGTCAAAGGTACAGTCTCTACACCAATGTCTGTGTATGTCTGTCAGAGTGTGTGCATGTGTGTGTGTGTGTGTGTGTATATACATATATATATGTGTGTGTGTGCATGTGTATATATATATATATATATATATATATAATATAATATATATATATATATGTGTGTGTGTGTGTGTGTGCGCGTGTGGGCGTGTGCCATTTACCATCAACGCCTTTATATTTTACTGAATAGTCGTACTCTTCTTCTTTTTAATGTTTACCGGCTGTAAACTCTGGTGAAAAGTTCAGGTTATACGTCGATTTTTGGATTTAGCTGTGTTCCAGAACTTGAGTTTTGCCTGCACGTAAATTTCACAAATGATGCTTTATTTCCGGTAATTTCGTGCAGCAGGGGAAACCAACCCTGAGCTTCATGAACTCGGGTGGGCTCAATCTCTGAAAATGTCTAAGAGCTCGTGGGCCGAAACATTTGTCGACGAGAGATTACTTCTACTGATGATTGGTAGACCCTTGCTGTACATGCTCCCCTGTGGAGTTTCTTCTTATTGTACGTGGCTAGCCTACAAGACAACCAGGATAGGCTGGTGACTATCGGGATAGACCTTTTGACACCTATGGAAAGACTGGCCCCCCCGGTATCGCCGGGGGGATAAACTGACATCTGGAGACAGATGTCGACTGTGGACCGGGTTGATCACCCCTAACACAGTATAATACCTCCGATTTTGCAAACCAATATAGAAAGATGCTCCCAGGGCCCTTCGTAAGAGGGGGAGAATGATGGGCCCAATCAAATTGATATAAACGGTGACGACAACGCTAGCCCCCGGACTCCGATTCTTGCCCAACGTCCGGGCTGGCTCTGTACATGTGGGAAGAGCTTCACGGGGTTGCATGGTTTGAGAACGCATGCCGGAAGGATGAAATGCGAGGGTGCTTCACGCAGTAAACGGCGTCGCAAAACTACTACTCCTGTGGTAGTTTCTGAGTCGCTAGGGAACGACGGGCAGGGTGAAACCCACTCGCCCGGAGAGGCCCATGACGTTGACTGCGGAGGCGCAAATTTGATGATTCCTGAGGAAGTGCGTTCCAGGATCAGGTTTCCACCTGCGAGCGATAAGGTGTCGTGGTGCAAGTTAGAAGGTACATTATGTGAGATACTAATTCATGATTTAAAAAAGAAGTCGTAAGGCGACAAGCTTACAAAGTTTGGTGATGTAATATATGAGCACTGTTCCCGTGAGTTCGGGACAGTCGAGAGGGACCCGTTCCAGTTTGCCCGAGGGATATTCGAGCAACCGAAGTCTGGGACTCTGGTTGTAAGTAAAGGGGAGCTTGAGTCACATATACGCAAAATGTACTCTGACAAAAAGAGGAATGAGCCTCTCGATAACAATCCAGAGATCCTTAGCGGCCTCAAGCAGCCTAAGTTGCCGAAGGTTTCAATTAAAGTGATACCTCCCCTTTGGTCTGAGGTTGGGGAAATTGTGAAAAGAGCCAGCGGCAAGTCTGCTCCAGATCCGAATGGTTTTCCGTACGTTCTTTACAAATGTCCGAAAGTCCTACGAATGCTTCACGGCTTGTTGAGACAAGCGTGGAGCAAAAAAACACATATGTCCGGAGTGGCAACGGGCAAACGGGGTCTATATTCCCAAAAAGCAGGACTCGAAGAGTCCTTCCCAGTTCAGGCCTATCTGTCTGTTGAACATTGAGTGTAGAACATTCTTCTCGGTCATGGCTCGCCGGCTCCCACAGTATCTGATGGCGAACAAGTACATCGATACGAGTGTCCAAAAGGTTGGAATCCCAGGCGTCACTGGGTGCCTTGAACACGCGACCATGATTTGGGAGTCTATTCAGAGAGCCAAGCATGAGATAACCTAATTGCATGTTATTTGGTTTGATCTCGCCAACGCCTATGGGGCAGTTCCCCATAGACTCTGTGGCAGGCCCTTCGCATGTTTCACGTGCTGGCACAGATCAACGACATGATCGAGCAATATTTCTCTAAGTTCGCTTTGCGCTTCTCTACCTCGGCGTTTACCACGAGGTGGACTGAGCTACAAGTTGGGATAGCTATGGGGTGTACGATCTCACCAATACTGTTCGTCATGGCCATGCAGGTCTTGTTAGACGGGGCGGTCGGCTACAGACTGGGCCTTCAAATTGGGGATCACTGGATGCCGGCACTGCGTGTTTTTATGGATGACAAGACTTTAATCACAGGCAGCGATGAGTCTGCCCGTACGATTCTGAAAAGATTGGACGCGGTGGTCCAATGGAGCGGGATGCAATTCAAACCGCAGAAGTCGAGGAGTCTTTCAATCCTTAAGGGCATGATGGCGGCAACCAGTTTTACGGTGGCAAGGAAATAGATCCCAACGGTTCTGGAGGAACCGGTGAAGAGCCTCGGTCGCGTTTACGATTCAAAGTTATCTGATAGAGCGGAGGTCCGGCGAATACGCGAGTCACTGGCTACAGGCCTGCTCGCGGTCGAGCGTAGCAGGCTGATCGGGAAGTTCAAGGTTTGGTGTTTCCAGTTCATGTTGATCCCAAAGCTCCTCTGGCCGCTGTTAGTCCACGAAGTGACGATGACTGCAGTGGAGACGATGGAGAAAAAGATCAACAAAGCCTTGAGAAAGTGGATTGGTGCACCACCTTGTCTGACCGAAGTGGCTCTGTATTGTAAGCAGGCAAAGCTGGTACTCCCGTTCAAATCGATAACCGACGAGTTTAAAGTCAGCAAAGTAAGACTCGCCATGCTCTTGCGCGAGTCTTCAGACCCAAATGTCATCGCTGTCCAGCCCGCTACTGAAGACTGGTCAGAACTGGAGAGTCCTCGATGCGATCGAATCTGCTCACAATGCACTAAAATTGAAGGAAATAATTGGTTACACTCAAACCGACTGGATAGGCCTAGGTCCAAAGAACGCCG